TATTACATATATGTAATATTATTTTGAAATTATATATGTTATATGTGTGTAATATTATATTGAAATTGTATATATTATATATGTGTAATATTATATTGAAATTATATACAGTGTATATGTATAATATTATGTTGAAATTATATATATTATATATGTGTAATATAATATTGAAATTAAGTAAATATTCTAGATTAGAATCTTTTGGTCTCATCAGTAGATTGTAGGTTTGTGTAATAGGGATGGGAAAAAAGATTTGTCTTTAAGTTGCAATTTTTATGTGGTTTTCATAAAATTTTACTTAGCAGATACATATAGGACACTAAAATATATTGAAATAATGTTTTAATAATTTTTTTTTTCTCTGGATTAAATGTATTTTATAGCTTTTCAAGATAAAAAGAGAAATGGGGCATGATGTTTTCATGTTGAATAGTTAAAAAAGTTTTTAGATGTTTAAAAAGTTTCAGAGAATATTGTAATTCTCTATTTAATTATCAATATTGTCATTTTTAAATTTGAGTGTATAGTTGAAATTGATATTTAGTTTATCTTCAGTGATTTGAATCTTTTATCTAATGTGTTATCTGTTACCTTTAATTGATATTTTTGATTAGTTTTGAGTGTCTAGTTGAAGAAGAAAGTATGAGTACAGATTGATATAGTCGAGTTCAGCGCGAGTGGCAGCACTTTCGCTAATTCAAGATGGCGTTGCAGATTATTCGACGTTATTAAAGGAAATGTAATTAAACATGATAATAATATACAATAATTTACAATTATTATTATCAAATAACAACTAAATATATATTTCATTTTTTCTCGTAGAATTACTCTCTCTGTTAGTTATGAGGCAACTATACAATATATATTGAATAAATAAATAAATAAAATTATGAAATAGGTTAGGAGTATAAGAAGAATCCTGCCTGAAAATTTGTTTGGGTGTACAATTTGATTTCTTAATGTAGACTACATATAACATACCTAATATGTAAGTATAATTTAACAAAAAGATTGTTATAATTGTGTTTTGAAAATTCATGTAGTCCGAATTTAAGTATTCTGTTTTATATTGGAAGTTGTGACTCTTTTGTTTGCAAAAATGGTAAAACTGGAATATTCTACTTTTTTCACACTTTCAAATAAATTAAATTATTCTACAACGATATCTTCATTTTAAAAAATAACTTTTTCTTGCCTAATTAATTAATAATTGCCTAAAAAATTGTCTTGCCTATGGTGTTTCAATTTTACACATCATTATTCTTATAGTACATGCTTAATTGCTACCTGAATATAATAGAAATCTGATCTACGTACACGCAATGTATAAAACTACATTAATTACATGATACATGCAAGATGATTCAGGCAACTGGAACAAATCACATTTCCTTCTTAATTATAATTAGGAGATAATTATTTAGAAACATAATTTTTGTTTCGTTTACAACTCCTTTTCACAAAAGAGATTGTGAAAACTGTATCTATGAAAAAAAAGAAAATTCTCTCCATACAGTTGAAAAAGAAACATAATCAATCCCATCTTCGTGAATCACCCTGTACAATTGTTACACGTATGTACAAGTTATAACAACTAACCCCTAGTTAACATAAATTAATTACGAACACAATCAGAAATTACAAGGAAATACTCTTTTATTACATCCAGTTACGCAGCATAGTGACCACAAAGACCGTATTTCGACTTTCCAGATTGAACTAGGAAGATTCAATTTCGCAAAACACGCGATTTCAAAAAATTCGAATAATTTTTACCAGCAAAAATTCATTTTTACCAGCAACAATATAATTCCATTTTCGACGTGAAAAAGTACAGGGACAATCACTTGTCAGTGTATTTCTGTGGCAACCGCGTCGATTATCCTCTGAAAGGTGGCGCTGTCCAGACCGCAGAACGCTCTGTCACGTGGGAAGATGGACAGCGCTCGTCGTTTCCGTCGACGACGCAAGATGTCGTCGAACTCGTCGTCCGTCGCTGGGGGATTCACCTTGGCGTAATAAAGCGCGGCAAAGCCGCTGTAGATAAGCAGCGCTGCAGTGGCAAGCTGTCAAAGGGCGCACGTTTAATTATACAGGAGTCTCGCTTAAATTGTCATTTTCTCGTGTTTTATGTTGTACTACGAAGGGAAATGGAGAATTCTTTCTTGTTATACGAGCTTCCAAGAAATTTTGCAGTTCATTGAACAGGAACATTTTGCAAATAATTTTTTTAAACAAGGAAACTATAATCTATAAAATATTAATATACAATAAAAGAAACAAATGAAAGAAAGTGAAAAAGAAAAAAAAATCGTGTTTGAGAGTTTACACGTGGAGTTAGGAAAATTGTTTTAGGTATTATTATATTTGTTAGACTGTCTTTGTTAAATGGAAAAATAAATATTAATATAATGCAATATTATATATTGTAATATAATAATATGATATTAATATTATATAATATTATATCTA